TCCGATAATAGTTATTACACGATATCATTTTCCTCGCTGCCCTACTTCGCGTCTACTTCATAATTAATATAATTATGTCAGAGAATATGTTTTTTCGATCAATTCAACAGCTCTGTTGCCGATTCAGGTGCACGTTCCTATTTAACTAAGCGGGCCTCTTTTCGCAAGCCCATTATGGGTTCGGCCAGGCCCACAATGGGGCTACCGGGTGGTGAGGGACGGGGCCCGCCATATCTGAAAGGACAACCCCCCGAAAAATTCCTGGGGATTTTTTCGATCCGTTCGAATTCGAACCCGGGTCCCCCAGAGCGGTGGGCTGCTACCTTGACCGCTCGGCCATCCGGCCGCTTTATCTGATGGATTGGTATGTGATTCTGATACCAAAAGATTTCTTAAAATTTTGAATTTAATAAATAATTTGAGAATGTAAAGTTGAAAATTCTATCATCAATGATTTTGTTTGCATGAAAAAAGGCATGCATACTGTACGTATGGTATGCAAGTATATACACAAGGGCATATAGCATATCTTACTTGACAAAATTTTCAGTTTTACAGCTTTCCCAAAAATAAATTCGAAAATCCTATCTACACGAATTTTATCAACGGGAACAGACTTGCAAAACAAGCCTGCATCATATATTTCATGAATTATAAAAAGCATTCCTGAGTTTCGTCTAACGACAATTAAATCACGATTAGTTACATGTTGAATCGCATGAAATTGTCTAGTTTTTAAAATTTATATTGTTATTTTTAGATACTAGCAACATTAAAATTATGAATGAAATACGATTTATATTGTATATACAATTCTGTGTCGTACACGATTTGTCAAACTGGTCCTAAAACCACTGTATGAAATCGATAGCATTCCAAATCGAAGATCAAGTATTTTACTGACCTGAATATTAATAGTAGTAAAAGTTTACATTTAATGCAAGTAAATTAAACAATGCATTTGCTTAAATTAACAATAACAGTTTGTTTATGAATTACCTATATTATAATTTTTGTTATATTTAACAGGAAATCACATCTCTAAATAAAAAATAGGTCATATCAGTCAAGGAAAGGTTATAAATTATCAAGTCTGATCACGATTTTCCTAATTTTCATAACATTGAATAAAAAAATTCTGATGTCAGCTCTAAACATTTCTGATGAAATATTTTAAATAAAATGCACTGCAGAATGACATACACGACTGACATTGACATCACAACAAAGGGCAAAGGAAAACAATCAAGATGGCTTCCCTGCCGTGTAACATTTGTTGTTTATTATTATTTTTCCCCTTAAAATTAATGATAATATAGTCATTATAAAAACAATATAAATATTTTTCTTTAATAATTTCTTAAGAATTAATCATAAATATTTTTTTAAAATGTTTTGTTTTACAAAGTTGTACCGCCGTAGGATAAATTTTTGGCATGATCGTTCATTTAAAATTCAAATAAACTAAATTATAAAAATTCTCTGTTGTTATTCTAAGCATGAAAGGTATCGATTATTTTAACATAAGGTCGATATATACTTGTGAGCACTATGTTGGCCTGCCTTTATTGTTAGACTTATTACACCGTCACTGGACACAAGACCAGCCTTAGAAAATCACTTTATTTTTCCAAAAAGAATACATTTCGGACCTTAATTACCTCATCAGCTTTTTTAAAAAATATAACCATATTTTAGAAAAAAACATGCAAGTTAGATTGTGTTGACAATAAAAATTTAAGGTTGTAATTCAACTTACATGTTTATGAAATTGATACTACCACATTTCGTAAATATACAATAAAATCACGACGTTTGGTAAAATATCGATGACAAATCGTTGATTACAGATCAAAGTTCCAGGTGTTTGCTACAATATTAACACGATGTTAACGATTTTAAAATACTGCAAATAACATAAATGGAAATGTTGTAAACTTATATTAAACGTGCTGATTCGATGCTGACATCAGTATAATTAAAACAAGTAGTATACGTAATAAAAGACACTGTTAAAACAATAAAATAATAAACTGATTTACTGTGAAAACAACAAAATGATAAAATGATTCACTGTACATTTAGGAATTGCCGCCATTTCCCCCTTTTTATTAATACACTCCCCCGGGAGTATATAATTAAAAAGGGAAAAATATCAGCACAAAAAGTACAGTCTTCAAGATGGTTTTTTATTAATAAAGAAACATTCAATATATTTCATTTGTTCAAGAAAAAAAATTACAAAAGGGCTCCGTTCTAAATCCGGGCCTAATACAAGATCTCTTCGGCCTTGCTGGCTGTATAGCTTAAGGCAGTGGTTTCCAAGCTTTCTATACCTCCGCCCTCTCTTTTTCAGAAAACAAATTGTTGCTGCCCCCTGAATTTTCGTAACGATCTAATTTCGTAAATACCTTACTTATTGTTTTGTAGCCCATGAAATAAATTATATACCTTATTAAATAAAGGGGACTCGTCTTTTGTCCAGACGTTTCTGTGTGTGGATGGATTTTTAGCATTCGTACCCGAGTCCTTCGGACGAGGGTTATGAATTAGTCATAACCGTTGTGCTGATTCATTTTTTGACATCAATTTGACTTTTTTTGTTTGTATTAAATATGATAATTTTGTAAAAGCTGAGCGCCTCCTTGCAATAGCCTCGTGTTCTATTAAAGGTTGCACTTCACAGATTGGAAAACACTGATTTAAGGGTTCCTGAAGAAAAAAATCAACTTAAAGAACAACTAGAATGTCTGGATCATAAAGTTGCAAATTCTAAAATTTCTTATTAGCGCCGTAGCTAGCTTTTCACGTGTCCTGTGCAAGATTTAAGTTTTTGCTCCCCTTTTCTGGAAAAAAAAATTTAAAAAACAAATACGTAGAAATGGGTCGCTTATTTTTAAACTTTTACCGAGAAAATTTACGGAATCAGATCCCATGGTGACAAAATTTTAAATTTGAATGTAAACACTTAATATTGATCAGTTTTTGATACCCCATTTCAGAGCCTCTTTTGTCCTGAGCCCTGTGCTTGTGCACTTCTCTACCTACGGCACTGCTTCTTGTAATATCGTAAAACTGCACAGAAACAATATTGATATTTAAATTATATAAGCAATTTTCGTCAAAGATTTACGTTATATATTAAAATATTTTTTTATAAACATATCGGGTAATAAAGTTGTACTGTACCATATCGCCTATATATTACGGAATGTGAAATATTCGTCGGAATTAAATTTATATGTTTGGTTTGGTTTGATGAAATAAGGCTATATATGGCGTAATGGTTCGGGATTACTCCACATATGAATGTATGCCGAACAACGAAATATGTACAAAAATATTTAATTTTTAAATATAAGAAAAGGCATGTTATTTTTTGGAGTAACTGAAAAGGGCCTTAAATGCAGACGAATAATCTCAATTGAAAAATGTTTATGCACACAATTACATTAGATAGGACCATCGAAATCTTAAGCGTTAGCCCTTCCTCCAGTTTCCATACAGTTAGTTTTGTTAAGCAGTTTTGTTTTGAATTCTTCAAGTTTTTAAATGGAAGTAATAACTCGGTTTCATTAGAATTTCTATCAAAGTCCATGCTCTATCTTCAGATTCAGGCACTTGGTGATCATTCTATTAAATACTATATAATTTGTCGTCATCAATTTTGAAAAAAGGTCGCGACACTTATCATGATTTATACGTAAGATATTTATCATAGATTTTATATTAGATATGACATAAGTGGAGTGTTGTGATAATCCAATAACCAGTTCCAATAATCAGCTTGGAAAAGTAGTCATAAAAAATTATCTCGGAGGTATTAATACAGATCTGGAAAAATATATTTTTTTAAATGAAATATATAAATAACTGACAATTTGTGTACTATATCTGTAATTTATATCTATCTTTATCTATAAATCATCAAAAGAGACAATAAATTATTTTTCTAAAGAAGAAGAACAGCATTTGAAGCCGATGGCAATCACGCATTAAAGAAGAAGGAGGGGGAAGATAAAGAAAGAAATTGAAAATTTTCTTAAAAATAGAGGTTGAGTCGAATTTAAAAGTCGTCTGACCTTATTACTTTATGCGCTTGACCTTGTCAAATCGGTTGGTTTTATTGACCTGTTAAAATGACCCGTATCATCGCGTGCTTGAGTAGTAATTACTCCGCTTCTTTGTGTAGACATTGATATTACATGCATCATCTTGCAGAAAATTTTGTCATATTTGTAATCATGAAAAAAATTAATTAGTGACGTTTTTATTGCAACATAATAAACAACCGGTGAAGTTTTCCATCTAATTTTATTTATTTTTGAAAGTGATTTACTTTTAAGTACGATATGAAAATAAAAGAATTAGTTATTAGTATGCGATATTTTAGTTTATGTAATTTTTTTTATCAAAAATAAAAAAGTTATATCACAATATATTACTTACTAATGATAAAATAAACCAGCAACGAGTTACTCAACTTTCCCGGCAGCATTTAAAATTTTGGTGGTGCCATCTGTTATATTTTATTTGAAAAAACTTTTTATATTTTTAACTGTTATAAAATGGCAAATAGTTTAATTTTGAGGGTAGAAATGGGTTTTATAGAAAAAAGTTGTAAATGTTAATAACGAGTAAAATTGTAATTAAGTCCTACCGTACTGGAGATACACGCGACTCCCTTCATTTCCACAACTCCTCGACCTTTAATCGCGAAAACTTAATAACATCAATCCTCCGAATAAACAAACCTCCTTGCAATATTTCAGAAATTTTTGACAAAAAGCATAGGAGTTAAGCTTAAGGTGTCCTAAGTCCAAAAATGTAAAAATATTGGGGGAGGATCATTTTTTGACCGATCGCCATACTTTCCCTCTGTTATATATAACAGCCAGGAAAGTAAATATGCATTTAATATTGTATAAATTTGTCAAAAGTAATAATTAATAACCATTAAATGTAAAATTTATTTATATCATCAACTGAAAACAATGCAATTCGTTATACTAAAATAAAAGTGTTATTTATCGATTTATAATATGTTAATGTAAAGTAATACTGGCAAGAGAAACAATTGATCTTTTTTTTTGGATAGAATTTTTCTTCACTTTTTCACATCTTCAACGCTTTCTGAAGAGCTTCTTGTTTCAAAGTTTTCTATTCGTTTTCCTGTAAGTTTTGTTACTTCTTTTTCTATTTCTTGTCGAGTACCTGTTGTTTCACTATTTTCTTCTTCATTTCGAATATATTTTCTGTTTTCGATTGTTTCCAAAAAATTCTGTTTATCTGTTTCTTCCATCTCGTTAGTCCCGTTCCGTACTTCTGCTTTCTTTATTTTTTTCGAACATATTTTGTTTTTCCATTTTTAAACTTGCTTCTTCGGTTACATTTCTTCCCTGCATCTCCACTATTTTATCGAATACCTTTTGTTTTTCTCTATTATCATATTGGTGGAGTTTGATTGAATGTCCTTTTCTTATTCCTCTTAATCGATCTTTCCTCAGCTGATATTTTGTCGCCATGGTGACAACACTAGGACTTCTTAAATTGCGATCGGTCATAAAATACATCCCTAGAATCGCTGATATAATAAAAGGGATGGGAGAAAGATAATACCACAATCTATAATCTAAAATCTTTTTACTTGACTTTATCCAGCAAGTTCCGTTTCTGTTTAAATAATTTGTAAAAGTTTTAAAGAAAATGATACACTTTTCTTGTATAAATAAATAAATTTAAATATTTACCTCAAACAAATTCCACGTTTACCATTACATTCTGTACCCTCTGATTTTAGATATAATTGTTTCTTAGAATTGAAGATATTAAATGATTCTACTGTATTACAATTTCCAGAATGATTCTTACAACAGAAATGACATTCTTTTTCGATAGTTGAACATTGGCAAAGTTCTAAACCGTGATCTTCGCAAACGTTGCTAATGCACAGCCCACGGCGACAGGTTTGAAAAGTGTTAAGACAGGGCGATCCATCTGATTCCATAACTCCTGAACAGAATGATGAGCTGCCGTCACAGTAGCTGGTAGCATTGAAGCAGATAACATTACTGAAACACGTTTTGTTATACGAAATAAAGTGACAGTTATTGTCGCAACATTGGCCTATGGCAGGGGCGCAAAGTGTTTTTGGTCTAAGAGAGCATTCGGATGGAGAACCTTTAGAGATGCAACAGTCCTTTGCATTCTTACAAATTCCCGTCGAATAATTGCAATCGCATGTCTCTCCTTCTTCAATAATTTCATTCCCGCATGTCGCTTGTTTAACCCTGTTTAAACATTTATCTAGTAAAGAAAAATTAAAAAATTAATTTTTTATAATTACTAATTAATTTTTAATGATTAAAGTAAATAAAAACCTTTCTTTGTAATAATCTTTTGCATAGCATGTAGACAACAAATAGAAAAATTCCAATTATTTAGATGATGTCCAAAAGGAACAGTTGGATACATTATAAAATTTCCATTGGATCGATTAACGTCTTCGGGACTACAAAATTCATCATTTAACGGATCGTCTTCACATCCGAATGCATGTCCCAATTGATGAAGTAAATTTAATGCAATTCTTATTGCAGGGATTCTAAAATCTCTTTCTATGTATGAAACAAAAGCAATGTTACTACTCACTTCATGTAGTGAAGTAAGATCACAAATTCCTCCAATTCTATTGAATTTTTTTACCGCACAGTGAGATTTTATCCAAAAATCTCTGTAACAGAAGTGTATTAGCATACAATAAGGATGTTTATATTGGGATATATGATTCATAAAACTATCGAAATCGTCTCTTTTAACATTCTGCAAAGGATATCCTTGTATATTTTCGCTTTCAAAAATGGTTATTTTCTCCACATTAAATCCGATTTCATTCGATTTTCCATCGTTGTTTAAGTCTGCTCTTCTGAATATCATGTGAGCCGTCATGGCGTAGAAAAGCATTTCTGCGATGATTCTCTCGTGATCTTTGTCCATAAATTCGAAATACGTATGATCTGCTAGGAGTTCTAAGGAGCAACTTGGTCTGAAAATAAGAATTATTAATAAAATTATAAATGTATTTAATATGGAAACACTACATAGACAACCAGACATTGCTATTTTTATGTTAATTTCATTTTAAATCTTTTATCAACACGATTCATGCAAATTTCAGGCAGCATTTGGCGACTTTCAAAATGTTATCTGTAGACATAACTAGAAAAAGGTAACTTTAATATAAATTTTCATTATATACTTGTGACTTATTTGAACATTACTTTTATTGTTCGATGGAAGAATATGTTCGCGATCAACCTTCGTATTTTAAAAATTCTTAACGCATAAAACATAATCATAGCTTCATGCTGCTTCAAACTCACACAAAAACTTTTTTAAATAAATAAATAAGACCGAGATAAAGATAATTTTCCGATTTAAAAATAATTTTGATCATACGCATTTTTAAAAGTTTTTAATCATATCGTTTTACAATAAATGCATTTCAGATACAGTAACTTTCACAATGCAATAGCACAATACAGGAATACTTCTTATTTGATCTATTTTCTTTTGATTCTAATAGATGCATAACCGAATGGCTGAGCGGCTAAGGTGAGAATCTATCGCTCTGGGGAAGCTCGGAATCAAATTCGGAATTTTTATAAAAAAGAATATAATTTTAAATATATATATATATTGTGTTCATCTAATTACTGCGACGATGATATAGCGCGAAATAGACGCGACGTTACGCCATTACTGAGACAGGTAGCACTTAGCACTTGCCTGGAATCGAAAGTGTTACTCGGTGAAAAGTCTGTAATAAGTATATAAGTATTTAACGACTCGTTTTTTTTTCATTTCTGAACGGTACTTTCTTAATTCTAATAAGCAGGGGCGATTTCTCTGGGCTAGCTTAGCATGCGCAACATGCTTAAGAAAGAGTTTTGACTACCAAAATACTTTTTATATGAGAACAAATATGCCTATAATAATATATTCTAACGTGTAAACTCTTTTATCATTTGTGTTTGCTTTTACATTGAGTGCTAGCAGGAACTCGATTGCTTGCTCGTATGGAGGTTTGCCGCAGCAAACAAGTGCGCTCGCATGACATCATTCGAAAGATTTAACACGGTCAGATTGTATCGAAAGCTTGCTGTACCCAGTCAGCATACATGTACTGTGTACTTTCAAATCTAAGTTGTGAGTTACGTACGTTCAGGGGCGGATCTACATAGGGACTAATAGAGCTTAAGTCCTATGTGTCAAGGGCCCACAAAAATTAAATTATTATCATAAAGTTTTAAGACTTTTTCTGATAAAGTTTGACATTCAACACTATTTTATAAATATTGATAAATATATTTCAACTCTGATTTTGATGTTATTAGAAATGAATGTTAAACCCCTATTTAAAAATTCTTAATTCAACAAAAAAATGAGGCCCCATTGGACTTCAAACCCATAAGCTCTAGGCCCCGAAAACCTAGATCCGCTCCTGCGTACATTGTTGCTATACGTTATTTTATCCACTCCAAATAACATTTCTGCTTATTGTTTAGTGTTAGAGTTAGGCCCAGTAATCCTATTATAACTTTCAGCTTGCCCAAAAATTTTGATCAGGATTCGCCCATTAATAAGTGCCTTCCAGTAGCCGAGTGCATAAAACCACTGAACTCTGGTAGTTAGTTACTCGTGGGTTCGGTCATGGCAAACGGCTGGCTACGTGGAATTTTCCGAGTTTTCTTCACATACTGTAAATAGGCTCCAGCTTTCCAGAAGTCTTCCTGGGTTGCATCCCCCAGCAGATAGCTCATGTGTCCAAATAAGCCAAACTAATTCTAATGAGCGATTATTTATTATGACATCATCACAATGTTCTTAATTCTTTTAGTGATGATTTTGCCCCTGTACGTCATACTTTTCCACTTTTTCTGTTAGTCAATAGAATCGTGTCTGTCATTTTTTTTTTGTTTTTTTAACTCTTTTCGCCTTGTGGATACTAACACGGCCTGGTTTTTAGCAAGCCCATTATGGGTTCGGCCAAGCCCACAATGGGGCTGCCAAGTGATGAGGGACGGGACCCGACATATCCGTTCAGACTACCCCTGAAAAATTCCTAGAAATTTTTCGACCTGTCCAGATTCGATTCCGGGTCCCCCAGAGCGGTAGGCTACCACCTTGACCGCTCGACCATCGTTGTCTCTGTCATCTATCTAACTTCGTTCAGGAAAAAAATTTGAATCGAAGTAACGTAAAATCCATTTCAAACCTGATGCTCCTATATAGTTTATCTCGGCTTCCTGCCTGTAATCTTTCTACATCTGGTCTCGACTTTCATCTATCTAACCCCTTTCTTGAGATTAAGAAAGGACAGACAGGCAGTGGAGGACAGTGATAATTTATAGGTCTACAATTTTTTGAAATTGCAGCCCAGTAATTTTTCTATAAACGCGATATGTACGATAACATAATTCCCACATATTTTATACAATCTGCTGCAAAAATATAAACATTTTATTACGACTTTATGTTGTAATAAAATGTTTATATTTTTGCAGCAGATTGTATAAAATATGTGGGAATTATGTTATCGTACATATCGCGTTTATAGAAAAATTACTGGGCTGCAATTTCAAAAAATTGTAGACCTATAAATTATCACTGTCCTCCACTGCCTGTCTGTCCTTTCTTAATCTCAAGAAAGGGGTTAGATAGATGAAAGTCGAGACCAGATGTAGAAAGATTACAGGCAGGAAGCCGAGATAAACTATATAGGAGCATCAGGTTTGAAATGGATTTTACGTTACTTCGATTCAAATTTTTTTCCTGAACGAAGTTAGATAGATGACAGAGACAACGATGGTCGAGCGGTCAAGGTGGTAGCCTACCGCTCTGGGGGACCCGGAATCGAATCTGGACAGGTCGAAAAATTTCTAGGAATTTTTCAGGGGTAGTCTGAACGGATATGTCGGGTCCCGTCCCTCATCACTTGGCAGCCCCATTGTGGGCTTGGCCGAACCCATAATGGGCTTGCTAAAAACCAGGCCGTGTTAGTATCCACAAGGCGAAAAGAGTTAAAAAAACAAAAAAAAAATGACAGACACGATTCTATTGACTAACAGAAAAAGTGGAAAAGTATGACGTACAGGGGCAAAATCATCACTAAAAGAATTAAGAACATTGTGATGATGTCATAATAAATAATCGCTCATTAGAATTAGTTTGGCTTATTTGGACACATGAGCTATCTGCTGGGGGATGCAACCCAGGAAGACTTCTGGAAAGCTGGACCCTATTTACAGTATGTGAAGAAAACTCGGAAATTCCGCGTAGCCAGCCGTTTGCCATGACCGAACCCACGACTAACTAACTACCAGAGTTCAGTGGTTTTATGCACTCGGCTACTGGAAGGCACTTATTAATGAGCGAATCCTGATCAAAATTTTTGGGCAAGCTGAAAGTTATAATAGGATTACTGGGCCTAACTCTAACACTAAACAATAAGCAGAAATGTTATTTGGAGTGGATAAAATAACGTATAGCAACAATGTACGCAGGAGCGGATCTAGGTTTTCGGGGCCTAGAGCTTATGGGTTTGAAGTCCAATGGGGCCTCATTTTTTTGTTGAATTAAGAATTTTTAAATAGGGGTTTAACATTCATTTCTAATAACATCAAAATCAGAGTTGAAATATATTTATCAATATTTATAAAATAGTGTTGAATGTCAAACTTTATCAGAAAAAGTCTTAAAACTTTATGATAATAATTTAATTTTTGTGGGCCCTTGACACATAGGACTTAAGCTCTATTAGTCCCTATGTAGATCCGCCCCTGAACGTACGTAACTCACAACTTAGATTTGAAAGTACACAGTACATGTATGCTGACTGGGTACAGCAAGCTTTCGATACAATCTGACCGTGTTAAATCTTTCGAATGATGTCATGCGAGCGCACTTGTTTGCTGCGGCAAACCTCCATACGAGCAAGCAATCGAGTTCCTGCTAGCACTCAATGTAAAAGCAAACACAAATGATAAAAGAGTTTACACGTTAGAATATATTATTATAGGCATATTTGTTCTCATATAAAAAGTATTTTGGTAGTCAAAACTCTTTCTTAAGCATGTTGCGCATGCTAAGCTAGCCCAGAGAAATCGCCCCTNTCCAGCTTTCCAGAAGTCTTCCTGGGTTGCATCCCCCAGCAGATAGCTCATGTGTCCAAATAAGTCAAACTAATTCTAACGAGCGATTATTTATTGTGACATCATCACAATGTTTTTAATTCTTTTAGTGATGATTTTGCCCCTGTACATCATACTTTTCCACTTTTTCTGTTAGCAATAGAATCGTGTCTGTCATTTTTTTTGTTTTTTTTAACTCTTTTCGCCTTGTGAATACTAACACGGCCTGTTTTTTAGCAAGCCCATTATAGGTCCGGCCAAGCCCACAATGGGGCTGCCAAGTGATGAGGGACGGGACCCGACATATCCGTTTAGACTACCCCCGAAAAATTCCTAGAAATTTTTCGACCTATCCAGATTTCGATTCCGGGTCCCCCAGAGTGGTAGGCTACCAACTTGACCGCTCGACCATCCGTTGTCTCTGTCATCTATCTAACTTCGTTCAGAAAAAAATTTTGAATCGAAGTAACGTAACATCCATTTCAAACCTGATGCGCCTATATAGTTTATCTCGGCTTCCTGTAAGCTTTCTACATCTGGTCTCGATTTTCATCTATCTAACCCCCTTCTCAAGATTAAGAAAGGAAAGACAGACAGTGGAGGACAGTGATAATTTATAGGTCTACAATTTTTTGAAATTGCAGCCCAGTAATTTTTCTATAAACGCGATATGTACGAGAACATAATTCCCACATATTTTATAAATTCATTATTAACATTCAAAACATTTTATTACAACTTTATATTGTAATAAAATGTTTATATTTTTGCAGCAGATTGTATAAAATATGTTGTAAAACTGTGAGAATAATTTTATTACAACTTTATGCTGTAATAAAATTATTCTCATAGTTTTACAAGATTTTTTTTATTTAAACAAGTCATGTGAAGTCTTTTGGACGTTAAGATCAGCAACTGGATCACATGAGGAGCCATAATGTCTAACACGGAGCAGTTTTCAAATATTAACAGTAGACCAGTATTAATTAGTAGTGGTTGGCCATTCTCTCTTTCGGGAGGAGGACAACTGCTACTTTTAGTCAAATTAACTTCAACCTTCATCTGCAACACTTCCTTCTTCCTATCGGACCCACCGGTATGGTGGCATTCGAATAGGAAAATTACACAATACGAGGTTACCAGTCTGCACAAAATATGATTTAAATGGTTTTCGAGAGTGCCGAATTTAAATATTTGGCCCATTTTTCTCAAAATTCGATTCGTCGGCGGCACTATCTGATATTCGGCTATGAATGAAAGTGTTTTAGTGCTAACATTTGAAAAAATTACAATATCTTAAATTCTCTAAGATATTGTAATTTTTTCAAATGTTAGCACTAAAAAACTTTCATTCATAGCCGAATAGCTTTAATCCGGAAAAAAGTTTAAAATAAAAAAAGTTAGTATTCGAATCGGATTATATACAACAGAAATATAACGTTATTAATTAATAAAGGTAAAAGAAACTGAAGTTAATTAAAAATTTCTTTGAGAAACGGTATCTAGTAAAAGAAAATATACTTATAGAAAATGAATTGTAAAGTAGTAACGCTCTATGATGCTGCACTGTTGCAAATTTAAAAAATAATATGCCAAACTTTAATTAACCTTAATTAATTACATACCCTTTCTTTGTAAGTTTTTCTCTTGAAACAGTGGAAATATCCTTTAGAGATTTAGTATATCTGTATATATTTAGCTGGTAATTTTGAGCTAGTAATGATTCTTTATTTATTTCTTCACAGTTATATTTAATATCTCGAAATGATGAATTTATATATACTTGTTCACCTGTATAAATTATAGTTTTATTACTTTCTCCAAATTGGCTGTAATGGATAGCGGGTTCAATGAAATACACTTGTTCTTTGGTATCTATTCTTCCGATGAACATTTTACGGTAAATGTATCCAAAGACTGTTGATCCATCTTTATTTTTTCCTGTGTAAATGGAAGCGCTTTCTAAATTACTAAGATGCAACCTTAAAATCTTGTTTTTTCTGTAAGTATAAATCTTTGCTGCCGAAGAGAAAAGCGAATTTTCTCGATACAGTCTGAATTTGAAGGTTTTGTCGTAAGCATTAAATTTTATACGATAGTAATTGATGTTATTCCTCGACAAACGAATTAGCCGAATATCAGAGAGGACTACTTTACGAAATGAATAAATTCCAGTTTGTGCCGAAACCGACTTTTCTAAGTTCAAATAAATCACTAAGTCAAGAGTAATAAAATAGTAAAGAAAAGACATTTTCGAATACATTCGAATTCGAACGATTATGAAATAGGAAAATATTGATTTTAGAATTATAAAATTTATTTAAAATTTTATTTTATTTTATTTTTTTGGAAACAATTGTTTGTAACTTTTATTTTTTCATTATTAAAGATTAAATAAAAGATTATATTCTCCGTTTAACATGAGCAACTACATATTAGATGCCTTATTAAGCATACAAAGTATAACAGTGTTTTGACGCGCGTTAGTATTTAGGGCCCATATCTGTAATGCCAATAGAACTGCAATGAGCATTTCTATAAAGCCGGGACTCCACATTACCGGAATCCGCGAAGTAATCGTAAAACTGAAAGCCAAACTGACGAAACTTTCAGTTTTGTAACGTTCAGTTGGACAGAAACAAGACTGAAAGCAGAGTTAAAAATTATTTAACTTTTCTGTTTTCGTCCCGCGCTTCTGTCTTACTGCAACCAATAAAAACGCAAGGATTTGTGACGCGTAGTCACGTTCATTAGTCACGCGTAGTTTGATTGTCGTAATGGCGGAAAGTGTAGCGAAAACGATGAGAAAACAAATAGATTTGGAATTCTTCATCGAAGAAGTTAGAAAATACAGATGTCTGTACGACAAAAAATGTAAATAATTCAAAGATTATTAACAATGAAATTGTTAATAAATGCAGAGAAATCATGGCAAAATCCGTAGCGTCATCCATGTTTGACTCTACGACAATTACAGAACTGATCAACAGATGGCGCATTTCTACTAGTGTCAAGTTAAAACGAAAACATAACTGAAACGAAAACTCTATATGTTTCAGTTCTGTTTCTGAGTTTCTGTTTTCAGGTAATGTGGAGTCCAGGCTTAACACAGTCACGCGGCGATGAAAACAGCAAAAGTTTTTAGGCAATTGTATATTAACAGGTATTTTTTCAAAAATATACAACACTTTCAAGAAATTAAATTAGAAGATTGAAAATCACTAACAAGCGGCGATATAATGATATAATCTAAAAATATGATATAATGTAAAAATAATGATATAATGTAAAAATATATTTTATTGGTGTCAGTCTCGTAACTGGTATTATTTACTATTTTGATTTTTTGCGAGGGCCATCAAGTACTGAGCATTAATCCAATATGAGTTTATCGTGGCGGCCCATATTGGATCAGTTATTTTCAAATTAGAAGTTACAAAATGCATATTGTAAGAGTCCAAATGTCAGTTCGCATGGCCGTTCCACAGCTGTTCTCGTTCGAATTAGATAACGTAGTCATTTTAAAATTTCAATTAATAAATAGATCGCATATATATATTTCATATTTAGAAACAACGTCGTTTAACTAGTTATATTTTTGTTCAGTTATTGATAAAGCGTTTATGTCAGCAGAGACTGTCGCTCTAGTATCCCAACATCGAATCTGGGCAAGCAACGTCAATAATTTTTCACGGACGGTCTGTCCTGGTTATGCCAGGCCACATTTTTCACCGCCCAGTCGCCTTATATTTATTATGGGTGTGGCCGAACTCATAATAAATATAATTAATTAAAAGGCCCTGTTAGTGCCCACAGGGAGGAAAGAGTTAAATGAAAGAGAAATAACAAATTTGAATAAAAATGATCTGACTCAGTCTGGCTTTTGAGTTATATAGAAAATACATGCAAGTTTCATTAGATTCTTTCTGGAGTGGCCGGGTGGTTAGGAACTGGACCTGACATATCAGGAATTCGCAAAAAGACTCCAAAAAATTCCTGGAGTTTTTCGACCATCCGATTCTTTCCCGGATTTCCAGGAGCGGTTGGCAAACGTCTTAACTGCTTTGACTATCTGGTCGACAATATATACATATATATGTGCCTATATTTGATGTACAGTACAGTACATTCAAGGGCTCTTGCTTTGCTCCCAAACCATACTAATTTAAAAAGCTGTATGATAACGTCACTAATTCATTTCTTCTAAGGAATTACGGGTTAGGTTTCGTATTGTTCCGTATTATGGGTTAGTATCCCAGAATTCCGTTCCTCAGATTTACCAGATCAAGGAATTTTTAATCGAAAATGAGGATTTTTATAATTAATTGAAAAAAACGATTATTTTTTTAAACCTCTTTCAGCCCTGTGGACCTAAGAGGGTCTTTTAAATCATACCCATCGTGAGTTTTGCCAGGCCTACAATAGGAAAACCGGGATGATGAGGGGACGTGGCCACTAGGATAGACCACTCACAAAAATTCCTGAGACTATTTGTCCGGTTATCAAAGTGAAGAGATGTTAATGAAGGGAATTTGTAGGGAATTCTACATTCTCGAATGGAAAATTAACAAGTAAAACGGCGAAGCCATCCTTGGGATGAGACTATGTCTCGGAGAGAGCGCGAGCAACGCATGCACAACTCCGGCACTCGCGCCTGTTTTTTTTATTTGCGCACCAAATACTCTGTGCCAAATTGCAACTCCTAACATCTACTCATTCATACCTATAAGGTGTGCAGCCGTTGACAGCAGCGCGATTTTAGAGACCAGATATGGTCTCGTAAAAAAAAAAAGCTTTTATTTAAGGATAAAAGTAATATTTTAATATAGTATAAAAAATAATTAACATTATTACTGTGTTCCATTTATTATTTGTTTATTCACCATAATAAAATTCTGATTAATTTTGTTTGAAAAAATTAACTAATCTTATTTGCCGGCTTATAAGACGCACTTTTTCCGAAAAATACTATCTGAAAATGGGAGTGCCTTATAAGCCAGCAAATAGGGTATATAATACTGTCCTGATAGAACTAAAGAAATATAATCAAATTTACTTTGCCTTTAATTTCAAGTCTGAACATTTATTAAGTGTATTTATTTGTTACTTTTTTCTATGAAATGAATTTTTTTATTTTATTATAATAGAAAACTTTATATATTTTATATACTTTCCCAAAATAATTTCAATTAGTATATAAGGTTATAAACAGTTAATAATATGTATTAAAAATTACACATTTAACAACTAATAGTAATTGAGGATGTCTATAGGATTTGCATAACTCAAATTTCATAAAACAGTTGAAATTTAAGAATTTTTATATTAGTGCAATAATTATGTACACAGACATGAGAAACGTTTAAATATATGTTTTGTTTACTATTATCATAATACGTACATAAAGTGGAAGAACCCGAAAATCCTACAAATTATTATAAACTGAAAATACAATTTTATATGCTAATCAAATGACATTGCCAGATTTTAATCTAGCTACAATATGGGTAATTAATGTATTGGGTTAAAGATCTGCTGTATATAGAACAAAAGTTTTATAAAGAGCACTTCGATGTTATTTATTGTCAAATTTAAATTATAAGATCAAATCCCCGATAATACCTTTTTTCCCCCATATATATATATATATCATTGTCTACGTTGGACTTAGTATATTAATAGGACTTATTATACTGTTGTTTCAGTTTTTGCAAATAGAGATGATCTTATTCAGAAAAACAAAATCTTTATTTTTTACCTGGTTTTTCACCTGTACTGTACACTCTTTGTTCGTGTTTCGGACCCGATGGCCCCTCTTCAGCAGGTATATATTACAATTCTATAACAAATTTTTATGAAACTTATATTTAACTTGTAAAAAATTAATCAAAAAAGATACAATCTGACCAAAAATATTTTTGGACAGACTGTGTCTTTTTTGATTAACTTAAAATTATCATCCGGCGAAATTCTACAAATTATAAAAACTATAACAAGATTTTACCCGACAATTTTAAGACTTATAAAATGGCTTACAGAATTCTTATTGTCTATCATTAACACACAAGTATAGACATAAAGCATCCCTATAATTGTTCTTAACATAATTTCAATCGCTGAAGAAATAATATAATAAAAGATTTAATACAGTAAGGAAATACTGGTAGAGGCAAAAGAATTAATATCAACTTTAAGAGTTTCGACTTAAAAAAGTAGTAAATTTATTTTTTTAATAGCTGCAGAATTAATATAACAGTATATAAAGAAATCATATTAAAGTTCTGTAACGTTATTTAAACTTTAATGAATGACAAAAGAATTTGTAAATATGTTAAAATTAGTAAAACTATTTTAAGTTATAATTATATCTAAGCAATAATATATTGTATTGTAAATAATTTTTCTTGCTATTTAAGTTTACTGTATCTACTTTGTAAAGGCGGAAGTCATGTCTAAAAAATGCCTAATTAATTAATTAGTTTGAAGAAATTTTGAAGATAAGTTACTTTTAGAATAATTGACACTGTCTATCTGCCACTCTTAAAATTCATGTTATAAACATGAGTTTTAAAGTTTATTCGTAATAAAGCTTATTCGTAATTCGTTAATTTCCATATTGAATCCTTTGAGGTTGTGTGCAGTGGTGATATTCAGCGGGTTCGCACAGGTTCGGCCGAACCCGTTGTTAACATTTTCAAAGTTTTTCGAACCTTGTTAAACACACGTAACATTTCTCAGTGGTTTTGTTTCTTTTAAAAAATATATTAAAATATACGTATTATACTCTGTAACACTACTAAACTAGAGCCTTATACCCTGTTCGCCTTGATGTGACCTCCCTCGACCGTTTCAATCTTGACTGAAACGAGGAAACGAGGTTCAATCGCGGTCGACTCAAGAGAGATCCCAAAATCCCACGCGTGCGATAAAATACAAGATGGCTGCGGAACACGTGTTGTAATAAAATATGTACAAAATAAACCATTTCAAACACTCTTTTTTATTATATATATAATTCTAACATAAAAAATGTTAAATTTTGACCGACTTAATTTTGCGAACGCATCTTTTTTATTTATAGGGGTATCTTAAGGTCAGTTTTTGCGCTAATATTGCTAATGCACCATTTGAGCGAAAAAAAATTGTTAAGGAAAAATTNGTCAGTCGTCATCCGAAGTCCCTCTACAAAAGTCGTCATCCGAAGTCCCTCTACAGAAGTCGTCATCCGAGGATTAAAACCGTGATCCAGGATTCAAACCGTGCCCAGGATTAAAACCGCAACCCAGGATAAAACCCGTGCATCAAAATTCCGAAATAACACCGTGACAGAAGTAACACCGTGTCTCCTTAAGAATCTCACCCCACTTCCGTGCTTCCACACCTCCGAGATCCAATTAACGGACAAGAACTAGTGGAAAGACCATTTCAGAGGAGTCAAGAGTGTCATCATACTACAGATCTGCGACCTAGGAAAAAGAAAGGTATTTATCAACCCGCGATTCAGTTGTAAACTCTCTCTCTCGAACGGAATAGTATAATTAAGTCCGATAATATGCCCGATATCTCTGTATTTTCTTTGTTTATTAATAAAATGGAATTTTTGTTAGAAAATAGGGAGTCCGAGTAAGTCACTTCCTCGTCTCTCTCCTCACCTCTACTCCGAATCCAAGCGCTCACACGCTACCGCTCGCGAATCTCGTGACATAAAGTCGCGTTTTCCGAGTCCCTTAGAGACTCGGTGGTGTCATCCTGACAGGGCGCCGAAGAGGTGCCGACGCTACGGTCACAATAATAATAATAATTTAATTATTATTGTGAAGATTTCTGCTATTTGAGATTTGTAATATAATAATAAATGTTCTAATAAATATTGATTACAGAAAATTAGAAGATTATAGCAAATTATTTTTCTATTCTAGTTGATGTTTCTCTTTAGCAATAACAACAGCCATACAAGATTGCTTGAATATATTCAATAAGAAAACTTCAACTGAAATTTAGTGCATATTTTATAATTATTATTGCTTTTATAACTTCATATTTTTATACAAATAATGCTACTTGCTGCTTATACTGTCTTTCAGTGTGAACATGTTGCATTTTTTGAAGTAACAGTTTTAGTGAAATTTGAAAATACAGTATCAGGTTACTAATAGAGATTTTATTTAAATATTTTATGTTGTTGAATACAAAAATCAAGTATATAAACTGCTTTAATATTTAACACACATTCTAGAATGTTTGCAGTATGCATCATTAAAGTGATTTTAATTAACCATGTTACATTAAACCATGGTCCTCAGATCAGTACTAGTCTATAGGCTGTTTGTGGTAAAGTTTTATTTTTCTGACAGGTTGTATAACAACATTATGTAACTTATTAAACAGAATGATTTTTATTGAATATAATATGTTTGTGGACTGAAAACATAATTATTGTATTTTATTTTAAATTTTAATGTGATTGGTTGAAATTAAAACATTTAGTCATTTAAATTAATATTTCATAATAATTAAGAGTAATGTAACATAGTACAAGTTGAATATTCTAATGAATAATTATGTTGCTTAATAATCATTTTATTTTAAAATAAACAATAAATAAAGTTGAAGTTGATATTTCTATTTGTTGGTATTGTCTACTGTTTAATAAATTTTTATAAATATACTTATTAATTCTCTACAAAAATAATTAAATTTAGTTCATATGCATAACTTTTGTCATTTAGGAACCTTCTCATTATCTCTTGCAAACACTTTTGAAGGTTTACTTTATATAATATGTAAAATTTGTGATAATGGTTTTCTTTTCTCTTGATTTCATTTTAATTTATAAAAAATTTTTATTCTGAGCAGTACTCTTCCAATGTGCAGTTTATATAATACAAAAATGCATGTGATTATAGAAAATTAAATATATTGTTATTTTAACAAGTATTTCGAAATTTTTTTCACTAATTTTGCATTTCAGAACTAAATAAATAGTTAAAAAATAAATTAGCTAAATAAATAAATGGTTCGTATTTATCATACGAACCATTGACATCTTATTTTTAATATTTAGTTAAAGCAGGAATTTTTAACGAATGTCGCGAAGGAATTAAAGAACGCACCCCTGCTACTAGTGTTCAGTAGTTTTATCCACTTCACCATTGGTGGACTCCCAATTTTATGAGTGATGTAATAAATAAAATGGTCGAAATAAAAAAATTTCAATCGTTTGTTGGCGTTAATATATTTTCTATTAAGGTGAATGCGAATATTTCGACAACACAAAAATAAAATTATAGACTATATTTCAGTAGCCTAACCTCGCTGTAGTATTTGTTTAATATATCAAAATTTGTTTATTTTGACGATTGCCTCATATTGGAAAATAATAAAGAAGAAAAAAATGATTACGTTGGTTAATAATTTAAAAATAAATTATTTTGAAATCTTAATTTAGTACATTGATCTGAGAAAGGAGAATGAGTGCAAAAGCTCTTTTCAGGTAAATAGATCATTAAAAGTCACGAATTCAATGAGTTTACAATTATTTATCGATTACGATGTTAGTTCTGATGCGGCGTGGCAAACTTATATTGATAAAAAGTCGGAATGGTAAAATTGAAACTCTTTCAATGTAAAAAAATTCTTCCGCTCTACAATCGCTTGAGATATCAGGATGTAAATTCTGCGCTGAAACCACGAAAATGTGAGCAACACTAAGTATTATTATTATATTTAAATTTCCGTATTAAATATATTTATTTATGAAAATAAATTATTCGGAATCATTCTGTTAATATAATTCTGATTTAATAAATCAAAAAATGATTACCATTCCTGTTGCTTTGCTTCATCCATAGACATTAAATATAGGTTAATAGAGAAAGACGACGCTAGTTATCATCCCGTTTCTTTCATTTTATAAATCACGATAAATGGGATTAATAATAGTGATTTGAAATAAATGTTACGAATAAGTTTCATTAAACAATCCAAAGGTCTGACAATAAATGGAGAACCATTATTATATTGACGCCAGGCGGATTTTAGAAAGCGATGCGATGGACCAACGAGGTCGAGTCACGCCAATTTCGAATGCTTTGTATTAATTTAATTTTTTTTTCCGAATGTGCAAGTGATTAACTGAATACCTTACTTTTATTTTGAATTTTTTTGTTTTAATTAAAATAAGTATTGTAATGTAACTTTATTCTTGTGAAAAGTCGTCAGTCATTTTTTCTTGTCAAAATTTTAGTACTAAAAATTTACAAATTAGAAAATCATCCTAATATATTGTAAGTTTATGCTAGGGATTGTAAAATACATCTAGGCAAACTATTAAAAAATAAAACCCCTTTTTATGAACTATTGCGCTAAGTTCACATAAATAGTTATAAAATTATCAATCCTTCCGATTTCATTGTTCTGAATATGTCGAATAGCGTTTGAGCAACAAATTCATCTATTATTTACTGACGAGTTTATATTTAAATACATTTAATATTTAAAAACGCAGAAAAATAAACTGTATATCATAATCTGGGTTCGGATCAGGACAAATTTTTGAGTAAAGATATATTGAGCCGTTTTCCCCCACGATGGATATGAGGAGAAGAGGCATTAATAGGACTTTTGCACACATTAACTTAAAAATATGGTTATTAAAATTTAAATGGTTATTTTAAAATACAATATACTATACAACACTTATTGTATTCACGAATATTTTCGTCAGAATTAGCATGAACCAAAACTTGCAAGTTTATAATGATTATAACATAGTAAAAAAATAATAGATGTTTAAGAAATCCCTGTTAAAAGATGACGTTAAAACTCCAGCATCGAGTTGCTTATACATTTGGTGGTGCCATCTGTTAAAAATATCATATTTTATTTAAACTTTTTATAACTATTATAAAATAGCAAAAAATTTGAGTGTAGAGATGGTTGGGTTTTATAAAAAATTGCAAATGCTAATAACGAATAAAATCGTTGAGATACACATGATCCCCTTTATCTCCCGACCTTTAACCACCAAAATTTAATAGCATCAATCTCCCTAATAAACAAACCTCCTTGGAAAATTCAAAATTTTTGACAAAAAAGTACAGTACTACTTCACAGGATGAACAATGTCATGCCCCCACACACTAACATCCATACATACAGAAAAAAACCCGATTTTTTTTTTTTTGCATTTCGACGTTTCAAGGTGTCCTGAGCCCAAAAACCTTGGGGTCATATTTTTGACCGATTGACATACTTTCCTTCTTTTATAACGTATTTTTACTTTATTGGGTGTTATATAACAGTCAACACAACCAGAGTTTCCACTAATCAGTCTTATTTACTTACCCAGTTTAATATTATTGGTCGGTTATCAATAGTATATGGGAGTCCCAAAAGTTGATTACAATAAGCGAATTCTATTTTATACAAGTATACCATTATTTTCTGTATGATTATTTCATATGAAAAATGAATCTTAGTTTACCAATCTATTTAAACACGAGAACAATGAAGTTAATAAAGCTATAAGCAAAAGATATTCTTATAAGAATTAAAAAGATCTACCTTTGCATATCAAAAAGGATATTCTTATCACAAAGTTTGTTCATTTTCCACGTATTATTTATTGTGCTAATCGGAAAAATGTTGGCACTTTTCAATAGTGCAACTACAGGGTGGATGGAAAGTAGTTAGGTATTGAGAAATTGTTATATTTCTAAAACAACGATGATTAAAATTATTTGACAGGTATCTTATTAAATGGAAATACATACGAATGTGTATACCTTAAACTTCAATGTAGGTTTCGGTGTCATCCATCAACTTCCTCAAAAGATCGGAACGTGGATGGTGGCCAGATCTCTGTGCGTCTGCAGTCGAACTTGTGGTCATCATTAGCTTAGAATGACGATTGTTCCGGATGGATTGTGGCATGACTTTCCTTCACCGTATACCACCACTTCTTCACAGCTACCTGTGATTTACACACCTCAGAGTGCAGCAATGTGCGCTCGCTCCAGAACAGACGAGTGATTCGACCATCTTTTCTTCCACTGCGCGTGCTGCCCATGCCATCGATGTAGGAATTATAAAATTTCATTAATTGATTAATGTACATGCGCGCACAAATTTTATTATTGTATTATTATAGATTTATTGTAAATAGTTTTATATTGTATTTTTTTATTTTTTTTTTGTTTTTTGCGTATTATTCGCTTTATTTCCAGTTTATTTTTGTAACTATTTATTCAATATACGTTTCGAACAACCGTTTAATAAACATTTTAGTTACATCTTTAATTTTTTTTCTTGATCTTCTCTTATTGTAGTTCCATGTATTATTTTTTTCTGTATATATTTTGAATATAGAATATATTCAAAAAATGTAGTCAACTTTCAAATTAAAAAACTATAATCTGATAAGTCCTTTGGAGTAGAAGTATCAGTAGCTATTAAGAATGTTATATAAAACAGGACAAAAAGCAAATAATAATAAAATTTTCTTTCTTGATGACATTAGATTCTGAATGACTAACACATGTTGAAATTTTGTTCAGGATACAGATTTCAACAAAAGCCAAATAAATTTTGTTTTGTTTTTAAATTCTCGTCAACTGTCTACTATTCAAACTATATTTATATCATCATCATCATCATAAAATGCGTATCATTGTATTCAAATAACTATTTTTTAGACCAAAGTTTCTAGCTGCATCTTAGAATTCTTACCTTGTAACATTCATTGTAAAGCAAACAAGAATAAAAACCTTATAACTTACTAAAATGTA